TTCAATCGCCTCATATGTATGAGAAAGGTGGACAATGATATGGAAGACTGAAGAAGAATTGATGCATTGGAATTTGGTGTTGCTGAACAATAATTAATATACCACGGATGTTCCGGTTACCTAGTGCTGCTCTGACAAGAATATACCACAAATGGGATGGCCTTAACAAACAGGAGTTTATTCTCAGTTTGGAGGCTTTAAGTCCAATTTCAAAGCGCCAGGCTCTAGTGGCTGGGTGAAAGCCCCTCAACCTTGGGGTCCAGTTCTGCCTCCTATTCCTGACCCACTGGAGATAGAAGTGTTTCTTCACTCAGACAGCTGCTGGCTGCTGAGGCTGAGAAGCCCAAGGTTGACAAGTAAAAAGGTGCAGTCTCGATGTTACCAAACCACATGGCAGGACATTAATTTAAGTCCATTGTAAGTCCCGAGGTTGGCAGAGCATAGCAGGCTACTGAACAACGACATGGCTACATGCAGTGTCCAAGCATGCCATAGGCTAGAGACCATTCCCAAAGCTGCTTCTTATATACAGGAAGCAAACCACAGACCCAAAACAGCTACTCAGCTGCTTGTGGTTGATCTCACCATGGAGTTGATTGCCAGTCTCATCATGGGGAATAACTACCACCAACTGCCCAGCCACTCAACCAGGCCCAGCCAAGCTGACGTACAAACATAACCACCACAATAGGCTAGCAGAAAAACGAGCAAATCTGTGTTGGAAGTACAGTCAGAATGCGGCTTACAAGAGAGGATAGCAAGATTTTGTCTCTCATATTTTGGTCATGTTATCAGGAGGGATCAGTCCTTGGAGAAGGATACAATGCCTGGTAAAGTGGAGGATCAGGGAAAAAGAGGAAGACCCCTAAGGAGATGGACTGACATAGTGGACCCAACAACAGACTCAAGCATAGCAATGATTGTGAGTATGGCATAGGACTGAGCAGCATTTCGTTCTGTCACACATTCAGGGTCTCTCTGAGTCGCAACTGACTCAATGGCACCTAACCATATTTAATTATTTTGTCAGGCTTATTTAAAAATCCATATATCAAGGTTTTTTTAAGGTGATTCTTTTATTTTATCAGTAACAAAGCAGTGTTACTAAGTCAAATCAATTTTTAAGGTACAGACATTCCCAAATAAATTCTTTCCGTTACTAATTTCATTAATTACATGCTTATGGACACATTTTTATGTGGTTGAAAATAAGGTGCTTCCATTTACTATTTTCATTCATACCAAAACTTGCATAGGGTTTAAATTAACTTAATAACTTCAATTAAATAGGAACTGAATTGCCCTGGGGATTACTTCCTCAGAATAAAAGGTTTATAATCTATAATCTTTCCATCAATTTAATGTTATTAATTTAGTAACCTTTACTTATCATGAATTAAGATATGGGAAAGCATCTACTTAAAGTACTTGCCATAGCATCTAAAATACAGGAGGTACTCACGAAAATATTTATATGCTTCTTTCCTTCTGATCCATTCATTTTATATACAACTCTATGGGGAAGAAACATCCAAAGCTAAATGTCTTAACTGTAGCTTAAATTTGAAATTGATCTAACTATTTGGCCATGTTTCTCTGGAAAGAGACAGGAATTATGGAATCTCTTACATACACACAAACACAAAAAAGAATTCTAACCCCTATTTGCATGTGAAACTAAAAATATAAGCTTGAATGAGGATCTCCCACTTGCAGAAAAGCAGTAAGTAGGGAGAATTAAGGGAAAAAATGGGAGGAGGAAATATGGAGAGAGTAGAAAGGAGAAGAAAAAATGAAGAAAAAGGAAGAGCAGAGGAGAAAAAGCAAAATGAAGAAAGGGAAAGACATAAAAAAAGATGAAGAAGAAAAACAGGAAGAATAAGAAGGTACCATGAATGAAGAGTAGAGCTTCAAAACAATGTGGTAAATAAACAAATCAATAAAGAGTCACAGTAACTATTTACTAAATAATATTCTAGAGGTCTGTAAGTGCTAATATGAGCTTCCAGGCATACATGATTTAATCTAAACTGGAAGAATATGACTCAGTAATTCAACTTGGTATTTCTTAAATTAAGAATATATTATGTGTCAGGCAAGGTCACTGGGCAGTGCAAACAGTTTGTGCTCAGCTGCCAACCTAAAGGTTGGTGGTTGAAACCAATCGAGCAGCACCACAGAAGAAAGGCCTGGCAATCTGCTTCCACAAAGATTACAGCCAAGAAAAACCTATGGAGCTCAGATCTACTCTCTAACACATAAGATCTCCATTAGTTGTAAGCATCTCAACAGTAATGTTTTGTTTTGTTTTACTTTTTAAATATGTCAGGCACTGAGTACACACTAAAAATGGGTACGATGGTGAGTCTTACCCTCACAGAGCTGACTGTTATCTCATAGAGAAGACAATTAACAAACAACAAAGCGCAGGTAATACTATGGAAGCACATAACAAAAAGCAATTTTTAAGCAATTAATTTGGTACAAAGAATCAAGGAAGCCTATCTAGAAAAAAAGTGGTATTTTAGTTAAAATTTGAAGGATGAGCAATAAGAAGTGAAATGAAAAGAGAAGTAAAGAGAAGGTGGAAGAATGTTCCATTCGACACAAGAGAACAATTTGTGCTAAGGCCTAGACATGAGGAAGAGCAAGATGTTGTTGCTGTTAGGTGCTATCAAGTTGCTTTTAACTCATAGTGACCCTATGAACAAAACACTGTGCCATAGTCCTTGCTATGCTAAAGCCCATTTTTATAGCCACTGTGTTAATCCATCTTGTTGAGGGTCTTCCCCATTTTCACTGACTCTCTACTTTACCCAGCATGATATCCTTCTGCAGGGACTGGTCCCTCTTAAGAACATGACCAACAGTAAAAGAGATGAAGTCTGACCATTCTCTTTTCTAAGGAGCATTCTGATTATATTTCCTCCAAGACAGACTGGTTCGTTATTCTAGTACTCCATGATATATTCACTATTCTTCACCAATACCACAATACAAATGTATCAACTTTTCTGCAGTCTTCCTTATTCATTGTCCAGAAAGATGCACAACAGAAAGAGTAGCATGAAAGGTAGTGTGCAAGAGAAGAGGTCGGAAAAAAAAGTAGGAGTTAGTAAAGCAGGAAAAGAGTATATGGAAGGAGTTATGGGAGGGAAAATAATACTCAACAATGAAAATGGTTATTTTCAGTAATAATTCAAGTGGGAAATAACAGTGGACCACATTAGGCTAGTAGGAGTGAAAATGGAGAGAAGTAGATAGATTCAAAGGCTATTTAGGATATAAGATTAACAGATTTAAAAAAAAAAAAGAAAGAAAGAAATCAGAGAAGACTCCTGAATTTCTAGCTAAGAATCCAGGGACAATGAGAGATGTCATTCACTGAAGCTAAAAATATTCAGAGATAAGGAAATAATGAATTCAATTGTGGACATGTTGAGTTTGAAATGCCTAGGTGACATCCAAGTAAAGATGTAGAAGTTGAGTATATGGGCCTGACCGGCAGACATAAATTTGTGAGCTAAATCATGAATTTTTGAGATTGGATCACCAAGAGAGTACCTGTATGGAGAGAAAAGAAAAGGATAAAAGAAACCAAGGAGTAGAAACTAGAATCATTAGAGAAAATCTAAGGTATCATGATATAATGAAAGTCAAGCAAATAAATTGTTCCAAAAAGGAAAATTGAGATTAAACAGTATAGAATGCTAAGGAAGATTCAATTCAGACAAAGCCTATAAATTGGCATACTGGATTTGGCTAAAAGAAAGTTACCACTAACCTCAAAGAGAGCAATTTCATTAAAATAATGAGGATGGAAACAATTTTGCAACATTTGAGGATCAAGTGGGAAGTAGGAAATAGAGATGAGTGTTGAAAACTTTTTATAACTCCTCATGTAAAGAGGAAGAAGAAAGGAGGCATAAGGAAGTCAGTAAAGAAAGAGAAGCGGTAAATATAGGAAAGAAGAGGTGATAAGAAAATATGATCACTCAAGGGGTGGAAGGAGACACAATCTAGAACACAGGATGCCCACAGTAACAGAACAAAGGGAAGAAAAAACATTTGCAGACACAGTCTGAGGAGGAAAGGTGAGGGAGTTATTATCTGCTGGTTTCTATTGGCTCTATAAAAATAAAGACAAGATTTTCTGCTAGTAACAAAAAGAAAGTTAAAGAGTTGAATGCATAAGAAAACAAAAACTATCAGTAACAAAAGCAGTAGAAAACACAAGAAATAATTCAATAAGGACACACAGAAGAATGGATGGGTGGAATGAACCTATGACATTGTGGAGTTTATTTTTCCCCAGCAGGACATGGCAGCCTGGATATAGCTACAAAAACACGAGTACCAATTAGCTTTCTTCAGTATTGATGTTTCTATCTAGATAGTGTACAAAAGAAATGAAGAGAGAAGACCAAAAATTTTTTCTATAAGGGTCAAATAGTAATTATTTTAGGCTTTGTAGACTCTAAGTTCTCTGCTACAACTATTCAGCTCTGCTGTCGTGGTACAAAAGAAGCCAGAAAATATATAATTGAATAGATATAGCTTTGTTCTAATAAAACTTTATTTACAAAAGTGGTGGGCTGGATCTGGCCCACATGCTATAGTTTGCCAAGACTTGGTTTAAGAGAAGGAAGTAAAGGTATAAGAAGGTATTGATATTAGAGGGACTAATGGGCTAGAAATCGGAAGAGTTGAAGAACTGGCATCTTCAGAATAAAACTGAAAGTTCATAGAATGAATAAACTGTTGTTGTTGTTGTTGTTATGTGCCGTCGAGTCGGCCCCGACTCATAGCGACCCCTCCTTGGGTTTCCGAGGCAGTATCACTACGGAAGTACGATTGCCCAACCTTCCTTCTGAGGAGTGGCTGGTGGGTTTGAACCGCCAGCTGTCTGGTTAGCAGGCAAGTGTCTTAGCCACTATGCTACCAGAGCTCCCGAATAAACTGTAATACATGTAAAAATTAACAAAGTAAATAAAACAAACCTTTGAGCCAATTTCACAAACATCAATAGGATCATTGTCTCCACAGCAGGCTGTGCTCTTATCTTTTCTATGGGGATCTTCCCAAGTCTAAACAAAATAAAGAAACAGAAATATAGGTTAGTACTCACTATGATTTTATCTTTATTTTTCCACATAACCATGAAGTTTTCCAGATCGTCATGGTCTAAAAGAAAATTTCTCAGAAATTACATAAGCAAGGACAACATGCTAATACATTATTAAACATCATAATAATTAAAACAGATTTTATGTTATTTTCTCTCTCTGTCTCTCATTCAGCTGATTAATCACATCTGAAAGTGGGTGAGATTTTTAGACATACTCCAAACATTTCCAGACATTTTCAAAATTTAGTCAATGTCTAAGTTCATGTTTATAACTTAAAGCTTCAGTTTGGATGATTCCATATGCTATGCCCTTCCTTTCACTGCCTGTCTAAACTACTACTTCCACCTTTCATGGCTTCCACTGATAATAGGACTGTCATTGCAGTTAGGGGCCACTGAGTCTACTCTGATTCACAGTGACCCTGTATATAACAGAATGAAACACCACGTTCACAATCCCTGCTGTGCTTGAGCCCATTGTTGTAGCAACTGTGCCAATCTTTCTAGTTGAGGACTGTCCCTTTTTCACTGATCCTCTACATTACGACATTATTACAGACCATCAACTGCTCATATGCAAGTTAAGGTGAAGTTGAAGACAATTTAAACAAGTCCCCAAGAACCAGAATATGATCTCGAATATATCCCTCCTGAATTTAGAGACCATCTAAAGAATAGATTTGATGCATTGAACACCAATGACTGAAAACCAGAAGAATCGTGGGATGACATCAAGAACATCATCCATGAAGAAAGCAAGAGGTCACTAAAAAGGTGAGAAAAGAAGACCAAAATGGATGTCAGAAGAGACTCTGAAATTTGCCCTTGAATGGAGAGTAGCTAAAGCAAATGAAGAAATGACAAGATAAAAGAGCTGAACTGAAGATTTCAAAGAGCAGCTCAAGCAGACAAAGCCAATTACTATAATGAAATGTGAAAAGACCTGGAGTTAGAAATTCAAAAGGGAAGAACATGCTTGCCATTTCTCAAGCTGAATGAACTGGGAATAAATTTAAGCCTCGATTTGCAATATTGAAAGAGTCTATGGGCAAAATATTGAATGATGCAGGAAGCATCAAAAGAAGATGGAAGGAATACACAGATTCACTGTACTAGAAAATATTGGTTGATGTTCATCCATTTCAGGAGGTGGCATATGATCAAGAACCAATGGTACTGAAGGAAAAAGTTGAAGCTGCACTGAAGGGACTGGCGAAGAACAAGGCTCCAGGAATTGACAGAATACCCATTGAGATGTTTCAATAACAGATGCCCCACTGGAGGCATTCACTTGGTTATGTCAAGAGATTTGGAAGACAGCTACCTGGCCAACTGACTGCACCCATTCCAAAGAAAGGTGATCCCACAGAATGTGGAAATTATTGAGTAATATCATTAATATCACATGCAAGTAAAATCTTACTGAAGATAATTCAAAAATGGTTGCAGCAGTATATTGACACACAACTTCCAGAAGTCCAAGCTGGATTCAGGAGAGGATGCGGAACAAGGAATATCATTGCTGATGTCAGATGCATCCTGGCTGAAAGTAAAGAATACCAGAAAGATGTTTACTTGTGTTTTATTGACTATGCAAAAGCTTCTGATTGTGTGGATCACAACAAATTGGGAATAACATTGAGAAGAATGAGAATTCCAGAACACTTAATTGTACTCATGAGGAACCTGTACATAATAGACCAGGAGGCTGTCCTTCAAACAGAACAAGAGGACACTGCTTGGTTTAAAATCAAGAAGGGAGAGTGTCGCGGTTGTATCCTTTCACCATACTTATTTGATCTATATGCTGAGCAAATAATCCAAGAAGCTGGACTATATGAAGAAGAACATGGTATCAAGGCTGGAGGAAGAGACTTCCAGTAAGATGGCAAAATAGGCAGACAAGCTACACAGACCCTCTTCAACAAAGAAAAGTGAAACCAACTGACAGAGATACAGAAGATAATCCTGGACCTCTGAGCTTTGAAAGGAACTATACAGAAGTCAATTAGGCACCAACTAGTGGAAAAATCTGAATGAAAACAGTGAGTACAAAGATGGTTGGAGCAGTGGATTGTTCGCTACTCTGACAGGGCTGACAGCCTGAATATTTCCATGTGGTGTTGAGACCTGAGAATTGACCTAAAGATCAGCCCTAGTCACCAAGGACTGCAGGGACAACTGTGCTGGTGCCCTATGAATAGGAAGGGAAATAGCAAGGCAGGAGACATGAGCTGTGGACTTTTGGCTGTCTAGAGGGTGCAACCATTTTGATTATTTACACACGGTGGCTATTTTTGATATTTAAAGTGACTGAGGGCAAAGCCATCTTGATTGTTTAAAGGCAGCAGCCATTTTGGATATTTAAAGTGACCAAGGGTGCAGCCATTTTTAATGTTTACTAGCAGTGGCCATTTTCGATTTTAAAGTGATAGCATTCTGATTCAGATTCCAGGGACCTAAAAATAGGCTCCATTTGCCAAGGACAGCAGTGACATACGGGATGCAGACAACAGGAAAGGAGACAGGTGGTGAGTGTATAAGTGCCAACAACTAGCAAATAGAAGAGCACAGCCCAGTATTCTGCTTATGTAGATAACATACAAAGAAAACAAAAATCGTGGGCAAGTCACTCCAACATACAATCACCAATTAAATATAAACACGAAAACCTCACAATGCCTTAGAGACAACAGACCATCACAGTCCACACAAGGAAGCAAGATAAAGCAGGAGAAATAAGGGACCAGGATACAGATCCAAAACATATCCCTGAAGAAGACACAGCATTGGAACTCCCTGAATTATATTTAGGTACCTTCAACAAATTGAGACACAGATCAAAGAAAACACTAACAAAATGGAGGGAAACACAAAGAAAACCCTAGAATAATTTCAAAAGACAATATAAGAACAAAATGACATAATAAATGAAAAATTAGAAATGATACAAAATCTAGAGAGAGAAATCCAGAAGATTAATACTAAATTTTCAGAAATAGATAATTCATTGGATGAGCAAAGGAGTAGAATTGAATCAATGAAAGACAAAATTAGTGAGATTGAAGGCAAATACCACAATACTTCTTTGGAAAGGGAATAATTAGAAAAAAGATCAAAACAAAATGAAGAAAGCCTAAGGTCCATATGAGATACCATCAAAAGGAATAACCTACATGTATTCAGAATTTCAGAACAGGAAGAGACAAATAAAACTGCAGAAAAAATTATCAAAGATTTGTTAGAAGAGAATTTTCCTGGTATGATGAAAGATGAGAATATATCCATTCAAGAAAATCAACAAGACACATCATCATCAAACTCACCAAAACCAAAGACAAAGAAAGAATCCTAAAAGTAGCACAGGAAAAATGAAAAGTTACCTACAAGGGGCAACCAATAAGAATAAGCTGGGATTTCTCTCCCGAAGCCATGCAGGCAAGACAATGGGATGGTATATATAAAATCATGAAAGAGAAAAATTTCCAACCAAGAATTATATGTTGTTGCTGTTATGTGCCATGGAGAAGGCACTGACTCATAGCGACCTCTCCTTTGGTTTCTGAGGTGGTATCACTATGAAAGTAGATCCCTTTCCAAAGAAGTATTCAGGTATCTGTGTTTAATCTCATTAATGCTGTCTTCCATCACATCAATTCTTCTCCTTTGCCCTTCCAATGTGTTATCTATTTCTGACAATTTAGTATGAATCTTCTGGATTTCTATCTGTAGATTTAGAATCATTTCTAATTTTTCATTGATTTTGTCATTTTGTTCTTGTATTTTCTTCCAAAATTCTTCTGAG